AAGGCATTCTTTACCTCTTTGTTCCTTAAGCTGTATATGAATGGGTTAAGCGTGGGGATGAATAAAGTGTAAAACACAGAGGCTATTTTTTCATTATCAGAAGAGTGAGCAGATTCAGGCTGGAGGTACATATATAACAATGACACATAGAACACAACCACCACCGTCAGGTGAGAACCACAGGTGGAGAAAGCCTTCTTCCTTCCCTCAGTGGAATGCATTCGAAATATGGCTTTCAGTATAAGCACATAGGTCGTGAGAATGACTACAAGGGTGGAAATCACATTAAATCCTGAAAAAGTGATGATTATGAGTTCAATTTCTCGGGCATTTGAGCAGAGCAAAAGCATAAAGGGAGCACCATCACAGTAGAAATGACTGACCACATTAGTACCACATAAGGTTGAGGTGAAAGTCTTACTGGTGATGAACACCGACTGAAAAATACTGATGAGGTATGGAATGCCCACGAGCACATGGCAGAGTCTCTGAGACATGATGACATTGTAGAGCAGAGGGTTACAGATGGCCACAAAACGGTCAAAAGCCATGGCGGCCAGAACATAGAGTACACAGATAATACACACTAGGTAGATGGCCATCTGTACTGCACATCCATAATAGGAAATGGCATATTGATTGGAAGCTAAACTTGCTAACACCTTGGGATAAATAACAGTAGCATTACCAAGATCAATCAAGGCCAAGTTTCTGATAAAGAAATACATAGGTGTGTGTAGGCGGGAGTCCACCTTGGTCAAGATGATCATGCCCAGATTGCCCATCAGTGTAATCATGTAGATGATGAGAAGGAGGCCAAAGAGTGGGAACTGCAGCTCAGGTCGCTTTGTGACTCTCATTAAAATGAATTCAGTCGGTATGGATAGATTCTGTTGACCCATATAGTCTAGGAAGAAGAGGAAAGTTTGATATTAGCTTGTGCATGGTATTTACTAAACAGATTGTATTACTTGTAGAGCAACTGAAGACATTTAATTTATATTAAAAATGGAAAAATAATCACATCTTATTTTAAGCTAAAATAGAGCTGTAAAAGATTTTACTACCCCTAACTGGAGCATGGGTAGGAAACTCAGTATAACCCATTAGGACATCAATTCAGTAATTTTGCAAATATATGTTTATCATCTCAAATGCTCCCAGTCCACATGTATCAATATTGTTATGTTTCAAAAAAAGAGGGCAGTATGCAAAAATTGAAATGAGACAAAAGCTATGAATGACCACATGAAATCCCACAATGGACATGGAGCTCATCATTCCATGCCAACTGCATCATTAATAATTTAATTTGATAATTGTGAAATCAAATCACTACATGACAGCCAGATCATGGAGAATCAAGCCTCAGACTGTTGGACACATGAGTATAAATACCACAACTAGTGTTACTCTGATCTAGAGTCTAGTATTGGTTAATATTAGGCATAATTCAAGGGAAAGTAGATTTTACTATTATCATAAATGAGAAATGCCAAATGAGGAATTATAAGGAGTTCCCAGTTACAAAGTCTGATTTATAGACAATTCATTGTTGCCTAGAAAGTGGGGCTTGGGAATGATTTAAACTGCTTCTGTCATGTACAACAAAGTTAAAAGGATGAGAGAATGTGCCCCCATCCCCTCTCCATTCCCTTTTATTTCTTTTCAACTATGGAAGATTAATCTCAGTAACCAGATGGAAATAAATGATATGTCAGAATCCTAGAATGATATCTATGGAAGAGTTGAGTGAGCCCTTAGAATGCTTATACATAAAGACTGGATTATTGCCAGGAATCCAGAGAGCTACCCACATTCAAAGAACGGGATCAACCAGAGGTTTCAGTGGGGATACTGCTATATTTGACTTTGGCATAGTGGTTACACATTGGGCTGCTCACCACAAAGGTCACCAGCTCAGAACCATGAGTGTCTTCACAGGAGAGTTACAATCTCAGAAACAATCAGAGGCACGTCTGCCCTCTCCTATGGATTCACTGCATGTCAAAATTGAATCAATGACAGTGAGTTGTGTGGGGTTTTTTTGTTTTGTTTTTAAATGATGTCAGGACGGAATTGGGAAAGACAAGTTTGAAGGTCTGCTTTTAAATGATTGAAACAAGCCATAAACCAAAAGTACACTGCTGTGGAGTCTATTCTGATTCTTAATGACCCTGCAGG